AACAGGAAATGTATAGTTACATACGAGATGTCATAGGACACTATGGATAAAAAAATTTTAACTAAAAGACAAATTGATATAAGGTTGAATGCTCAAATAAATTAACTTTGATAATATACAAGGCAAATATCGAGCACAGTACTTCTTGCTCAAGTACTTTCGATCACTAGATCATCTTCAGGGGTATTTCGTTAATTGCGGCCTATCCGAAATGCCCCTGAAGATGATCTAGTGATCTAAAGTACTTGGGCAAGATTAAATTAATACTGTGCTCGATATTTGCTTTGTATATTATTAAAATAAAAGACAGATGTTGAGAGATTATACTTTATATTTACTTGGCTTTTATACAAAAAAATTATTATTTTAAAAATTTATTGACTGACTGCAGATAATAATTGATTGGATTAAGTTATTAGTAATATAAATAATAAGCCTATTACAATACCTACAAATCCAAATCAACGCCTAAACATCCAAACACTGCCCATTCAGAGAACCAATCAAAATCATCATCATCATTTAACCCGGATCTATCCACTGCTGGATATAGGTCTCCCTCAGTCTTTTCCATGTATTTCTGTTTTGTGCTGTTTGCATCCAATTTTTGTCGATCGGTTTTATGCCATTAGACAGACCATCTTGTTGGTGGACGACCTCTACTTCGATGTGCTTCTTGTCTCGGTCTCTACTGTATTATTCGCTGTGTCCATCTGTTATCCGACATTCTAGCTATGTGCCCCAACCAGTTCCACTTAAGGGTCATAATTCTTTCTATGGCATCTGTCACTCCTGTTCTCCGTCTTATTTCCTTGTTCGTGATCTGATCCCTACGAGAAATGCCTAACATCGATCGTTCCATGGCTCTTTGGGTAATACAAATTTCATTTCTTACTTTCTTGGTTAGTGTTAATGTCTCTGCACCATATGTAAGTACTGGCAACACGCACTGATTGAAGACTTTTCTTTAAGACACATAGGCAGTTCTGATTTAAGAACATAGCTCAGCTTGCGAAATGCCACCCAAGTGAGTTCTATGCGGCGGCTTAGTTCGCACATTTGATTATCTCTACCTATGCGTATCTCATGTCCTAAGTACTTATAAGAGGTGGTTTCTTCAATATGCATGCCATTTACTAAAATCTTTTCGCTTAACACAAGATTTGTCATGATTTGTGTTTTTGTGTGGAAACTATTGTTTCACAATGTCGTCTTGTTTATTTCTTAACTTATGTATGTTCTTTTTTCCTGTGGACATGTTGTGTCTTAGAACTTTCAGACTTCTATTTTACTCTATCACCCTTGTCACCTCTCTCATGTTATGTTGCCGTATGTCTTTTCGGATTTCTTTGTTTGTTGTTCTACTGAGTTGACTAAATTCTGTGTAGTTTGTGTTATACCTGTCCTATAGCCTCCTTCTTTCTTCGATCAGATTTTTAGTGTTGAGACTTATTTTCTCATGTTTTTTTCTTCATTTTAGGACAGCACAATTTCTCCGCTTCTTTAAGGGCTTTAACGATACTTTAGCTTAAAACTTCGACCTGTGTTTCATCGTTGATTTGTTAAAGGTTATGGTCAATGATGTCACGAAAGTGGTCTGTATGTTCGGGCGGGGTCCATTTACGATTGTCTGATTTTATCATTTTTGTTCGTTCATTCTTTAAATTGAACAGAATTTTTGCTCGAATCAATCTGTGATCGCTTCCAATTGTAAATCTGTTTAAAACAGATACATCTTGTACAATTTCTTTTTTATTAGCAATGATAAAATCTATTTCGTTCTTTGTAAAACCGTCTGGACTTTTCCACGTCCACTTTCGTTGGGGCTTTTTTTGAAAGAATGAGTTCATAGAAAAAAGATTTTCTTGGGGTAAAAAATCTACAAGCATGGTCCCTCTTTGATTTCTTTCTCCATAGCCGTAGTTTCCTAGTGCGGTTTCATTTTGGTGTTCTTTATGTCCCAGCTTAGCATTAAAATCTCCTGTTATCAGAGTATAAAACGTCTTAGTACTTTTCAGGGCTTTTCTAATATCTTCAAAGAACATTTTAATCTCTTCGTCTGTGTGGCTTGTCGTAGGTGAATAACTTGTATCAATTTTAATTTATATCTCGAATTCAATTTTAAGATTAGAGTGATAACTACCAATCAAAATACCCTAAGTTTATTAGGACATATCATCGGAAGCCGAACGTTTACCTAGCAGATTAAGATAGATACTTAATCTATTAACCATTATACTACTCTCTCTATTATACTGCTTTCCCAAAAATAACAATAAATAAGAGCAATACGAAGAAAACTTCCAGACACCGAGTAATAAATTTCTAGCTCGTGAAGACAACAATGGCAAAAATACCGTCTGTGTCATGTATAATAACCACTAAAAACCGAGAACTACTAAAGGTCAGAAATTTAAATAACCCCAATCTACTAGTATCTACTAGTAAACTTACATACTGTCCATCCGATATTAATAACTTCTAGTTTTGCTGGACTTCGCAGTTATCAAGAGCCTAGACAAAAGAAAAATCCTAGACAAATGATGTATGTATACCTTTAAGATTATATATGAAAAAAAATGGGAATATTACAGAAGTAACTTAGATAACCTAATATCTTTGGATATACTACTAAAAACAGAACCATCAGTCAGAAACAGTTCTGGCATAATAGAAATGATGATTCAGGATCTATGATTCATGTCACAAATATGAAATAAATAAAATACCTCTCTAAATTCAAGAGAAAATACTAAAGGTTAGAAGAAAAACTAAGAAAAGGATGGATAAAAACAGATAAACAGAAAAAACAAAACATATAATATAGCGAACAGAAATATAGAATAATAGACACTGTCTGACTATAGAAAAGAAAATATTCAGAATTATCTACAACCTTTAACCCCAACGGAAGCCTCAGATTATGCACTGTGGAGGTGTATCAAAAAGCTTAAACATAATGAACAGTTTAATCCATTAATCAGAAATGGAAATATGTAGACAAGAAACGACGAAGAAAACAGTCTTTCTTCTTATTCTTCAGATGCAAATACCAATGGATGTTAGCGATCACATTTTCCATTAATTCTCTATTTCTTGCAATATGTATCAGATAGTTGTATGTCGTGTCCATTGCCTTATGTTTCGGAGCTAGGACATTTTCTTGCGTCCCATTCCACTCTTGTCTTCAATTTTACCCTCGATTATAAGTTAGAGGAACTGGTACTTTTTATTTCGCATGATGTGACCTAGATACGCCGTTTTCCTTTTCTTGATGGTTTCGAAAAGTTGGCGTTCATGGTTTATTCTTTTAAGGACATCTATAATTGTGATTTTCGCTGTCCATGGTATTTTAAGGATACGGAGACAGAGCCACATTTCGAAAGCTTCTAATCTGTTTATATCCCTCGTTTTGAGTGTCCAGTACTCTACGCCATATAGTAGCACTGACAACACGTAGCACTTCGTGAACCTTAGTCTCAGTTGAAGATCGAACTCTGAACAAGTCAGTACCTTCTTGAACTTTACGTAAGCTTGTCGAACTTGCTCAATGCGACATTTTATTTCCCTGTCCAATGCCCAGTCTTCAAAAAGCCACCATCCCAGGTATTTAAATTTACTCTCTCTTTCAATGGACTTAGTATTTAGTGTTATGGTGGAGTTTTCAAGTGCATCCAAGTTTCTGGAGATGATCATAAATTTGGTTTTTTTGGTATTAATCTCTAATCCCATTCGCTTACTGTATTCTCCGATTATAGTGACAAGTTGTTGAAGATCAACTATGTTGTCACAAATTAAGACACCATCATCAGCATATCGTATGTTGTTGATCAATACTCCATTCACTTTGATTTCCATCTTTGCATCTTCCAAAGACTCTTGAAATATGGCTTCCGAATAAATGTTAAATAAAAGAGGGGAAAGCACACATCCCTGTCGAACGCCCCTTCTTATATGTATGGGTTTGGATATGGAATTGTCTATTTTTAACTGTGCTGGTTGATGCCAGTACAAGTTTTCAATACATCTTATGTCTTTTTGGTCTATATCAATTTCTTGAGGATCTGCATTAACTTGTGGTGTTGGACACGATAAAACGCTTTTTGGTAATCTAAAAAGCATAGGAACACATCCTTCTGATCGTAACAATTTTGGACCAGCACCTGTGTTGCTACTATTGCTTCTCGTGTTCCTAAACCTTGCCTAAACCCGAATTGGGAGTCACTGATGTCCCATTCACATTTTTTGTATAATCTTTGATGTAGTATTTTTAAGAATATCTTTAAAGTGTTACTCATCAGGCTAATGAGTCAGTGATCCTCACATATTTTTGCATTGACTTTCTTGGGCAGGGGAATAAAGGTAGAGCGTAACCACTGTTGAGGATAGCAGCCAGTTTCATAAATTAAGTTAAATATTTTGTGTAGTGCTGAAATTCCCCTTTCATCTAGTAATTTGAGTATTTCTGACGAGATTTCATCTGGTCCAGATGCCTTATTGTTTTTTGAATTTAATATTGCCTTTTCTATCTCCTCTTTGGTGATTGAAAGGCCAGTCAGCTGGTCGTCTGTATAAACTTCACTCATGGGTCTTTCGTCATAGAAGAGCTCCTGGATATAATTTTTCCATATATCAATTTTCTCCTTTTCACCCAGCACTATCTGGTTATCCTGATTAACTATGGTAGCTGGTCTTCGTTTTCTGTATATTCCAGCAGTCTCCTTAAGCTTTTTATGTTAATTACGGTCGTCAGTAAACAGTCTTTACTGAAAATTAAAAAAAGAGTATTCCATTCATAACAACCAGAGCAACGCGCTCTGAATCAGTATATTTGCACAGAAGATAAAGAAATAGAAAAAACACTAAAGATACCATTTAAAATGGAATTGCCAGTAAAAAAAATCTACCACATATGATCTTACCACAGGTAAAATTCTACAGGAATTTACGCAAAAATGCTTCAAATGAATTAATTACATCAATAAGTATTTGATACTCACCCTGTATGTTTAATTTTCGCAACTTGTTCTTCAACCCCCGTAGATGCATTCAACGAATCATAGGTAGGCACTGGTGCAGGCCTAAGGTGCGGAGGAATGGAACTGTCAACGGGAGGGGAGTTCCACTCATCCGTAAGGCTAGTGGTGGCGAGACTAATCCTAAAATCTCTGTCTACTGAATCAAATCTCTTGAAACTGCCTGTGCTGCAATTAAGTTGGATATCCGAGTCAGAATGAACCTGAAATGAATAAATAACAGTTTAAATTTTGTTTCAATTAATTTAGAAAATGTAATAAGGAGGACCGGAATAGATGTAACAGAAAACAAGCAAATATGCTCATATACATATATGCACGAAGTTGGGCAAATATGCAAACATGTTTAAAGAATATGCGTAATATAAGCAGATGTTAATTATCGTCCTGTTATTAAAGTTTGAATTTAAAAACCAACTCATATAATAATAATACTCCAAAATGTCTTGCTAGTATTTAAAAAGTCGTATTTTTTACATAAGATTAAAATGCAGTAGATTGAAATACAATTTTGACATTTATATATTTAATTTATCCAAAGTAACAATATTTTAAGTAATACAGTAACCATACATATTTTGACTCCATTCGCTTAGCTCGGGCATATTTTGACAGATTCATTGTCGGAAACCTACAACACAACAATTCCTTCTTCTCAGTATTAATAGCTTAAGTATACTACTATTGCAGACTTCTTTTTAAAAAAAAGAAGAATTATTCTAAATAGTGGAAGTGCATACTAAACCCATCAAATTTTGGGTAGTATATATTTAAAAAATGTATTTTAGTTGTTATAGTTTAATATAACCATTTACTATATGGTGCAGATAAATAAATATTGATTGTCGGTAATTCGCAAAGTTTTATTTTATTTACTATTTAGTTTGTTTACCATTAATATTGGCTATGAGTACGTGTTGTAGCGTTTACGCTACTGACTAGTCCAACTAAAACCCGTCAAGAAATTTCGTGTGATCCGCCAGCGATCGATTTTTAAATCGACATTTTTCCACACACGCGCAGCAGTTGCTTTGAAAGGAAGATTGGTCGAGTCTGTGCAGAAGCCGTTAGTTTCTGGTCAGAACTCAGCGCAGACACGCCAATCAGTGAAATTTTCTCACGAAAAGTGACGGAATTGGAGCAAGGAAAATAATTTGGAGGAAGAATAAAATAATTCATAAATACAAATAATAATAATTAATTTATTAAAATCAAGATTCATGTATAAGAGAAACACATAAAAAGGAAGATTTTTTTCTGGCGTGCTGCGGCTCCATGTAAGTAAATCATTTCATACGTATTATCTCTTTATCATACAATCAAATTTATCCTTGCAGTTAAGTATTTCTTTAGAGATTATTTTTTTTGAGTTCCAAAATAATTTAAATATAAAATTTCCTTGATTTACTTGCAAAGAACAGAAGGTCATTTTTTATATAGTTAAACTTAAATTCTGTTTTAGTCCATGTCCATGTCGTGTAAGTTTTTTTGGTTCCCTTTTTATCTAACTTTTTTTGGTGGAATATAAAAGGTTCTAGAAATGTGGTACAGCCTTCTGTATTCTGCGAATGTTCATTTCATGGCGCAAGCCTGTCATGTCTACGAAGTAACTTCGGAAATTCTGACATGTTGACATAACCTAATGTTTTTGTTTTGGTGCAGTCAATCTATGCTGCTACACGTATTAAATAAAATAGTAATTAAATCTGATAATTCTTTTAGATTCCGTCACTTCACTTGAGAGTATTCTCTTAAGAATATTCCCTCAAGGAATAGTAACAGAATTTATTAAATAGTTAGCAACTCTCCTGGATTTTGCCGTCACTCCAAGCAGATCGACCAGTGCCTGGTTTGACTACATTAGGCTCCCCTGGATTTGTCCTTTACAGCAACGAACCGATTTAGCCGTGCCAAGAGGAGTTTTCCTACGGACTTATAGTGCTGTAAAGATAAGTTGTTTAACTGTTCACTCTTCATATGCATATGATCAGGTGAATGCATTTTTGATATAATCTAATTCTAAAATATTGGGGAGGGAAAATACCTTTCATGTTTTATTAGGTTTTTATTTTAACTAGGATTTCAAGAGTACTGACCAAACTCACTTTTGCTATAATATATTTTTTAATACAATACATTTGATATAATACAATTTTGATATTGGGGAGGGAAATAAATTTCATGTGGTTTTTTTTTAAATATGATATAATGAGTATGGAACAACTCACTTGTAATATATAATATAATTGTAATAGATTTATCAAGTTTGATATCTTTACAATATTGTAATTTGTATATCATTTTAGTCGAACTAGTTAAATTTAAATTACTACCTTTTTGTGTTAAGACTTTGGCTATGATACGGACTATTCTTGAATTTTTACTGATATTTTATACTTTATTTGGCCAGTGGTAGTGATTATTCGCTTGCTGAGGGGCTATTAAGTCCTATTGTATATTTACACCATCCACTACCACTGTTATTTAGCTTTGAATTATATGTAAATTGTTCATACATATATATCTATATACACGTTTTACAAATATATTTATTGTTACTATTTTGAGTTTTATTTCAGTTTCTACAAACCAGTATATAATATAGCAAGATAAGATTATTATTTAGTATTTTGTATTTCAGGTTATTATCTCCAGAATCATTTGTTTCCAATCATTTGTTACTTCAAAATCTTAACTATCATTGAGTTGGCGCCCTTCTTTTTCTCTTCTTATTGTTCTCTTTCTATAAATTTATTCCCAGTGACCTTCTTTAGTTGTATCACGTTTGATATTACCAGGTCTCATTTCGTTTCTTGTCTTATTAGCTCAGTATACTTGCTATCTGTTTATATCTTTAAAGCCACAATCCAGTGCATTGAAGCTAGCCCGAACACTCACTTGAGATTTAGTGTCTCTTTGGCCATTTAAATTTGTTTCTCTGAGTTTAGCCATATTTTTAGTATTTTCATCACCTCTCTTCCAGTTCTTCTGGAATTTGGAAGTCTTACACTTCCTAAAATCCAATACTCCCGGAGTATTGAGGTTTCAGTGTGCTTGGTCATATAGTAATTTTCAGCCACTTATAGTCTGTCAAAAAGTAACTAACTTCGCAAAAAAATAATTACTAAATTCACTAGACAGTTCGGACTGGGAATAGCGAACCGAGTATACTTATAGTAGATAAGCAATTACAGAAAATAGTGTTATCGTTATCAAAAATATTCTCAATATATTTTTTTTTATTTGCAATTAAAATATTAGGATTTCTATCCTTGTATACATGTTTATATAATGAAAAACTTCTTTCAACGTCAACAGAAGTTATTGGTGTATTTTAAAATTTGTTTTTTTAACTTAATTGGCTTTTTCATTTTAAGGAAAGCTGCAATAAAGTTTATAAAAATAGAAGAAGTTGAGGGTCGCAGTTCTGATGATTCCCTAATACTAATAACAATCAGTGAGTATATTATACTAAGAGAAAATAACCCTACTCTCACCACAATTATGAATAGATTGATAATCAAGCATCACAAACTAAATCAATATTCAAAAGATCACATACAAGCAAATAATATAAACATAGAGGACTGGCATCGTTCACTGACATTTTCTTCAGTATATAGCCCATCAAGGCGTTCAATAACCAGCAAACGTATGCGCAGCTGTTTGCTACACTTAGCCACAGATTTATTGTGACTGGTGATTATAATACCAAGGATACACAATGGGGCTCTAGATTAATAACACTAAAAGGTAGACAACTATTAAAAATAACAGAATAACAGGAAACAAATGTCTTGATAGATGAACCAACCTATTGGCCAATCAATAGAAAAAAAATCCAAACAATAAAGGCCAATAACAGAACAATGACTGGGCTAGGTTAAGACGGGCGTTTAAGGCATTGAGCTAAATTCATCAATTGAAACTACTGAACAACTTAATGAAGAAGCGAAAAAACTATAAATATACAACGAGCAGCATGGAACAATACCAAACAAATTATAAGAACTGACCAAACCAAACCACTGACTACTCTTTATGAAAGTTCACAAAAAGCATAAACAGACCAACGCAACAGATTTCGCTGATTAGAAAAGAAAATGGAGCGTTACGGAAAACAAAAAGGAAATATGTTTGTTTATAAATAAGAGTACTGAATACAATGTGAACAATACTATCAATGAATAATAAAGTCTATTACCCTTAAAATAGTAACCCAATTAATAAAAAATAATATTAATCCAAAAAGGGCTCCAAAATTTGACTTAATAACAAGAGAAATACTACCATAACTATCTAGGAAAACCATCGTTACAGAATACCCTAAAAACCGTTTGTTTCATAATTCGACATGTTTCCTGAAGAGGGTTTTTTGGCATTAAAACACCTCGCTTGCCAGACGCTTGCCCACTCTGAGTCATACGGTATTCGTAGCCGTCCACTCTGGATCAGACTCTACTGTTTTACTATTTTTGGTCCATGCCGGGTATTTCTTTTTTCCGGTACCACCCATATCTGGGAGGCATTGCCCTATCCGCCAACCGGAGATGCGCCCGATGGGGGACTATACCTCACTCGGGTGGTGGAAACGATATATCTGAAATAAGATGATTATACACTGGAGACCAGATAGTTACAAACGAAAAAAAGAAGACCATAAATGAGATGGTCAGATGACTTGAGAGAAGCCTTGTTTAGTATACAGGTGCTAGTACAGAGATGCAGAGATATAAATCAAAATGTGTATATTTGTGCAATCGATTTTGAAAAAGCATTTGACAAAGTCCGACATAACAAAATGCTAGAAATATTGGAAACAGCTGGATTAGACGATAAAGATCTACGAATAATTACAAATCTATACTGGCATCAAGTGGCAAGAATAAAGGTTGAACAAGAACTGTCGGATGAAATAAATATAAAAAGAGGAGTGAGACAAGGCTGTATATTGTCGCCTTTACTTTTTAACTTATATTCGGAGGAAATATTTAAGGAAGCCTTAATGGAGACAACCGAAGGTATTATTGTGAATGGAGTAACCGTCAACAATATTAGATATGCCGACGATACCTTAGTCCTTGCCAATTGCGGAGAAGACCTTCAAAATCTAATGAACAAAATAAAACAGACTTGTGATCAGTATGGATTAAAACTCAACGTTAAGAAAACTAAATATATGATAGTTAGCAAACAAAATTAT